TGTGTACCTGTGTGTGCGGGTGTGCATGTGTGTGAGGGCGTGTGTGTCCGTGTGTGCGCGTGCACGTGTGTGCGTGTGTGCATGTGCGTGTGTGTGAGCGTGTGTGAGTGTGCGTACGTGTGTGCACAGGTGTGCATGTGTGTGGGTGTGCATGTGCGTGTGTGTGAGCGTGTGTGCGCGTGTGTGTGAGCGTGTGCACATGTGTGAGCATCTGTGAGTGTGCGTGTGTGTACGTGTGTGTGCGGGTGTGCATGTGTGTGAGCGTGTGAGGGCATGTGTGTGTGCGTGTGTGAGCGTGTGCACGTGTGTGTGAGCATGTGTGAGTGTGTGTGCATGTGTGTGCGGGTGTGCATGTGTGTGAGCGTGTGAGCGTGTGTGTGCGTGCGTGTGCATGTGTGTGAGTGTGTGCATGCACATGGGAGCCAGCTTCCTCAATCACTTTTCATATTGGTTTGGGTGTTTTGTTTTTTTCTGGTTTTTTTGGTTTGATTTAGTTTGGTTTGGTTTTCTGAGACAGAGTCTCCCTGTAGTCCCAGCTGGCCTAGAACTATGTAGACCAGGCTGGCCTCTATCTCCCAGAGATCCACCTGCTTCTGCCACTTGAGTGCTGGGATTAAAGACACGCACTACCATCTGGATTTCCACATTGTTCTTTAAGATTTATTTATTTTTATTGTATGTGTATGTGTGTGCGCCTTTATAAGTTTATGTGCACCACATGAACGCAGGTGCCCACAGAGTCCAGAGGTGCTGAATCACCTGGAGCTGGTATCACAGCCTGTTGTGAGTCACTGAACTTGTGTCCTCTGCAAGAGCAGTGAGCACTCTTAGTCACAGAGCCATCTCTCAGCCTTTAGCACCTTGTTTTTGTGAGACAGGGTCTCTCACTGAACCTGGAGCTCACTGATTCTACTAGGCTGGTGGCCAGTAAGCTCCAAAGTTTCTCCTGTCTCTGCCTCCCTAGGGCTGGGATTACAGGCATGTGTCATTTTGACTTCAGGGGTGTGTGTGTGTGCGTGTGTGTGTGTGTGTGTGTGTGTGTGTGATCATTGTTATTGTTAATATGGGTTCTGGGGGATTGAATTTGGGTCTTCATGGTTTCATGGCCAGCACTTTACCCACTGAGTCATTTCCATAGCCCTTGAGGGTCACTTTCTAATCTACTTCCTCCCAAAGTGGAATAACAACCATTTGTGTTTTTTAAAAAAATATTTTTATTGGCTGGGCATGGTGATGCACACCTTTAATCCCAGCACTTGGGAGGCGGAGGCAGGTGGATCTTTGTGAGTTCAAGGCCAGCCTGGTCTACATAGTGAGTTCCAGGACAGCTGGGGCTACAAGGAGACCCTGTCTCAAAAAAAGACAAAAAAATCTTTTTATTATTTTTATTTCATGTGTATGACTATATTACCTGCATATATGTAAGTGCACCCATGTCAGGCAATGCCCGAAGAGGTCAGAAGAGGGTGTTGGCTCCCTGGGACCTGGAGTTATAGACAGTTGTTAGCATGCCATACCAATGTTAGCTGGCATTGGAAGCTGAACCTGGGTCCTCTGCAACAGCAGCCAGTGCTCTTAACCCCTGAGCCATCTCCCTAGCCCTGATGATAACCATTTGTAAATGAGCATCTACTTACAGCTTTCAGTCAGGGCACGAGGCAGAAAAATTCATCAGAGCAGTTCAGGTGCCTGGGACACACACTGTTCCTCACAGTGAAGTTTATGTTCTTGACTAAAGCATTGTGGTTGTTTCCTTAGCTGATGAACTTTGCCAAGGAGCAAGTGCTCCTTTTGTCCCAGCCGAGTTCCCAGGAGACCTGAGATTTTCGGAAGCTCTGGTTGCTGGGAAAGGGGAAGTGAATCCACCTTGAGGTGACGTAGCCCTGACGCATCTGCAGGGCTGGGCCTGGACCTCTGGCTGGGTGTGTCCCGCTCACTGTGTTGCTTTTTCTTACTCTCTTCCTCCAGTTTCAAAATAGGAACGCACTGAGTTAGAGCAACAGAAATCTTCCAAACATGACATCTCCACAGAGCAGGGGCAAGTAGGCACGAGGCTCAGCTCTGTCAAGGTCAGGGGCAGGTGCAGCCCCAGACCAAGCGGCCCCACCCCTCTCTCTCATTCCAGTCCCATCAGACCCCACTGGCCTCTGCTGGCAACGGGATGATGGCCATGGATGTGCTTTTAGTTAAACCTCGCCATCGGCCACCTCCCATAAAATGCATGCCGAGGATTGAGCCCTACCCAAGGGGTCTTGGACGGAAGTCACTGGAGTCCAGTCACCCTGAGGACAAGGAGGCAGTGCCTGGGGGAGCTGAGCTTTGTCCCTGTCCATCTGAGGAGTGAAGTTCTCCTGTGGGTGTGGGGAGGTTTGGTCCACCTGCTGCTGAGCTGGTATTTCTCTCCTTCTGTGGGCTCTGGACTCCCTGGGGCTAGCGAGGGGTGGGTGCCTGTGCTTATCGCATGCTATGGACGTGTTTCCTTCTCCTGTCCCTTTTTCTTACACAGCCCCCACCAGCTGGTGTCCCAGCCTTACCTCGCAGTGTCTGTCACTCTGTGCCTGGACCTCGCCCATCTGGAGGTGTCTGCTCTGAGCTCAGACACACACTACTCAGGATACCTTTTCTCTCTCTCCTGATGGAGACTTTTGCTACGGCTCTCTAAGGATGTGTCTCAGATGGCCAGTTTCACAAGATGGTTTTGGCCACATTTCATGCCCACTGTTTACGAGGAGTGTATTACTAATTTAAGGAGTAAAACTAAGGGGCTGGAGAGATGGCTCAGCTGTTAAGAGCACTGGCTGTTCTTGTGGAACACCAAGGTTCAAATCTCAGCACCCACATGGTGGCTAACAACCATCTGTAACTCTGGTTCCAGGGGATCTAACACCCTCTTCTGTCATCTACGGGCACTGTACAACACAGGTATACTTACACACATGCAGGCATAACACTCATAAACATAAAATAAAAAATAAATGAATAAATAGATAAAAATAATTAAAATTTAAAAAAAAGATCAAGACTTAAGATGGCTTCACCCAAACTGGGAAGAACACATATTCTTGCACAAGATAAATTTCAGATCTTATTACGGCGGAGTATTCCTATGTCTACTGTGGTCAAATCACTCAGAAATGCAGTTGTTGTAATTGTATGGGGGGAAGGGGTGAATTATCCCAGGGAAGACCATCCGTGGGGTCTCAGTTCTAGCTCTCCTGAAAGGCTGCCCAGCAAAGAGGCATGAGTGCACTGTGTGCAGTTCCACAAGGAGAATCAAGAGCCCGGGGTAAAGACGCGGCCATGCAGAGCAGGGCTTGGCACAATGGAGAACTGCCAATGATCAAGATGGTGCAGGGACAGTGCCAAGAGACAGTGCTCATGCTAGAACATGGCTCAGTCTACTGGGAACTGCCAGCACACAGAGCCCTGGTAAACACAAATCCAGATCTCTCCGGCTGGTTCCTGTTCTTTAAAGCTATGCTAGATTAAGGATGTGAGAGTTTGTACATCCCCAGGGACCAGAGAAACAGAAAGAGGAAGAGTCTCCCACCTGAGCTCACTCACCCCTCTGTGGTCACCAGCTAGCAAGTCTCAGTGGCGTTGCTAGCATGTCACTGTCCCCACAATCTCTCCCCCAGATGGCCTTCTTCGTGACTTCACAGACCATCTCTAAAAAAATGCCTTTTAACATGAGGATCTGACATGCACTGACAACCCTTAGAGGTGCTTTACAAACCTGTGGCCAGGCACACCTGGGAAGCACACCTGCCACATCTGGTCATTTGTGTTGGAGCAAAGCAGCAGACAGAGGAGCCAGGTACCTGGAAACTGGCTGCAGGAGATCAGAAGCCCCGAGGATCGGGTGACTCACAGTGTTGAGCACCTGCACTGCATTTTCCATCACTGTAGATCCACTGCGGAGCTCTTTTCCATTTGAGAAATAAACAATGCTATTTTGTAAAGTGCCATACAGTTGGAACTAGGTCTGAAAAGTAGGCTAAAGTAGGGTCACACTCCCAGCCGCCTCCAGTGTTGGAGCCTGTGGGCCTTGGATCCTCTCTGACTCCAGGGAGGTAGAGTCTGGACCCATGGGAGGCACCCGGATTCTCTCCATCAGGGCCCCTTTCCTACCTTCACGCCAGCTGTGGGCCTCCACCTTCCCAGTCACTTCCCCCAGCTTTTCCTCTCCCACCTCTGACGGCTGCCCCTGGATCCTGACTTCTTCTGAACTACAGGGTGTGGGTTTGCACGGTGATCCACTCTAAGGTTTCTAAATGGAAGCAGTTAGTGCTCAGAGTCAAGGGGATGCCATCTCCATGAAATCGCATTAGCCTCCCTGCAAGGATCTGAGCTCAGGGGTCACTAAAGGGCAATTGTAAGTTGGAAGAAGGACATTCTTAGCTAGGACTTTAAAACTGGGGTAAATATCCAGTCACCTTCAACACTATAGTTACACAACCAACAAAGTCAGTGAATGCCCTGCTATACAGAATACTGTCGCATTCTCTGTGTGTATGTGTATATACATGCATGTCTGTGTATGCACATGTGCACATGCATATGTATTTGCATGCATGTTAAGGTCAGAGGTCAACCTCAGGTATCATTTCTTAGGCACTGTCCATTATGATTTTTGAGACGAGATTTCTGGTTGGAACTGGAGCTCACCAGTTCATCTAGACTAGCCGGCCAGTGAACCCCAGGGGTGTGCCTGTCTCTACCTCCCCAGCTCTGAGATATAAGCACACACCACTACACTTGGCTTTCTTTTTTAAGTGTGTTCTGGGGAGTTAGTCCAGGTCCCCTCACTTGCACAGCAAGCACTTGACTGACTGAACTGGTTCGCCAGCTCTTGTTCTAATAGAATGAATGGACACACTGCCTCTCTACCTGACACCCCACCTTTGCTAGCCAAGTACCTGTCAGGGGCAGATTAGGGGAGGTCTGGCTATACTTAAGATTTGAATTCTGCAGTGTAAACTCACCAAATGTTGCTTTAGTTTTAGGAATATTGGAGAATTCCTCCCAGAAGTCTCTGCATTGGGTGGTCATCATCTTCCTGGTCCTGAGTCTGGTGGCTTCACTGCTGAGCTCAAGTTTCACATTCTACAACAGCATCAGCAACCCCTACCAGACCTTCCTGGGCCCTGTGGGCGTGTACACTTGGAATGGACTCAGCGGTGAGTATCCCAAGAAGACCCATGCTCCCTGAGAACCATGTACCACTGTTACCTTCTGCCCACCACTCACTCAGAGAAAGCAACACACAGTCACATCACACCATGGAGATGATAAAGCCCTGTGATGCTCCAGCTCTTGTGTTGGGGATAATTAATCACCTTCGGGCATGGGATTCTGTTTTCAACGTGCCGGTGAGAGTCCAGGAGCGGGGTGAGGAGGGAACATTAAGGTAGTTAATACAAATCAGCTTTGCTTTTGAGACTCTGATACAGGAGTCAAGTAAAACACACATCCATCAACAAAACACTTGCTAAGCTCCAAGCCAGGCCCCATGTGGTGAATATGAGTATACGCATGCACACACAAGTATATTCTCTCTCTGTCTCTGTCTCTCTCTCTCTCACACACACACACACACAAACAAGTATATTCTCTCTTTGTCTCTGTCTCTGTCACACACACACACACACACGCACACACACACACACACACACACACACACACACACACTTGCTCTCTCTCTTACCGTCATATAACAAGACACAACTTGAACTCCAGAGATGCCACATCCGTGAGTCTGTGTTACAGAGTCATGTAGGGTGTCATCTGGGGCATAAAGTCTTCTTGTGGGCCACCCATGGGCCAGGATGCTGTGTGGTTGCTAGACAATTTGTTTATCTCATGGGCAGGTACTGGGGTGGAGGATGGAGTCCAGATGGGAATTAGATTTCACTGTGACTCACAGTCAAAAGACTCAGTGGCTTCTGCCAGTGCTCTGCAGCCCCCACATCTGCCAGAAGTCTGGGTGAGAGCCAGCGCAGGACTTCTATGCTCATTTCACATGCTTTCAAGGCTTTCTGTCTCTCTGTCTGTCTCTCTCTTTCTCTCTCTCTCTCTCTCTCTCTCTCTCTCTCTCTCTCTCCCCATAACTTTGTTTAGGAAAATCAACCTGTCTTCAAGGGGGTTATTCCTGACTTTCCTATGACAGAATGCCTGACAAACTTGAGGAAGGAGGGTGTCCTTCGGCTCACAGGTGGGCGGTGCGGTCCATTGTGGTGGGAAAGTCATGGTTGCAGGAACAGGAGGCAGCTGGTCACATCACTTCTACGGTCAAGAAACAGGAGTGGTGGATGTTGACAGGCGATCTTAACCATCACAGGGGGCAATTCTAGAGGGGGCTTTACATGTCTCCATGATGCATTTCACCACAACCCAGAGGAGAGATGATCAGGATGCTGAGGTGTCAGGAAATCTGGGAGGAGCAACTGCGGGCAGCGTCCACCTGTCCTGTGTGCAAAAACATCATGACTATCTGCCTGGCGCAGGTGACTAAAAGAAGCTCCATGTCGCTATGCCACAGCTCAGAGAGGGGGAAGAGGAGAGAAAGAGGAGAGGGAGAGAGAGAGAGAGAGAGAGAGAGAGAGAGAGAGAGAGAGAGAGAGAAAATATAAAAGACCAGAGGGTAAGAGAAGGT